GGATGGATGGATGGATGGATGGAAGAATAGGGGTGGCCTCCCAGACAAGAAGACACTTAGTGAATTTTCACTGCAAAGGGTGAATTTTAGACCAACTTTTCAAGGACTTAATTCAGCAATATAATCACTATAATACATTAATGTCCATATGCTCTGAAAATCCAGCCAGTTGTGACTGATTTAATACTGATGTAATCCATGGGAAAGCACATTGGTTGAACACAGCCATACCATCCTGGTCATCTTCCTAGAGATGGAGGGAAGAAGGAAGTATCATCTTTTCGGTCACGACATAATGGTAAATAAGGCATAGTATGCATTATTTGTGCAGTGGTGTCATGCCATATATGATGTCTTTGTAGCTCATATTCAGAGTCTACGGAGATTTTCAGTTATCCAGGTTATGGTTGTCCCAAAGGTGCTTTTTCAAGAGGCAACTGGACTGTCTTGTTTTTTCTTTGAAGATGTTTTGCTTCTCATCCCAAGAAGCTTCTTCAGCTCAGAACTGAAGAAGCTTCTTGGGATGAGAAGCGAAATATCTTCAAAGAAAAAGCAAAAAGTCCAGTTGCCTCTTGAAGAAGCACCTTTTCGGACTCATACTTAATGTTTACATCCACCATCATTGCATATTCAATGTGTTCCTATTTTATATATTAAAAACCTCTCATTTTGGATGAAGATGTTGATATAGCCGAAACAGCATCATTCTGATATAACAGAAAGATGATATGTTTAGGCAAATATAAAATAAAGCATTTTTTAAATGGTAAAAAATATACTAAGGTCTACTGGGAGAATTGATAGAAATTTTTGGTTCTTATTTTCAACAACAGAATATCTCTATTTGTAGAATCAGAGGTGAAGGATAACTACAAGAGGATTTTTGTGTGAAAGATTTGCAAAAATGTGTAAGTTAATGTAATATTTTCTTCCAGAATTATAAATAAGCAACTGGTTCTTTGGGGTCTTGAATTTATATTTGTTTAACATTAACTAAGGAGTTTCACCCAAAAAAAACAACCCTTTAATTAGTACCATTAAATCTCAATGAGATGTTTATCATTTTAATCTTGTTTTTGACAATTGCCTGATTCTCTTTGCACAACACAATTGATTGAGATCATTAGAGGTTTTCTACTTTCTGACACCAAACTTTTCAGAAATGAAGTGTGTACTGTTAAAGATTAGTCTTGATAATTCTCTGGACTGGAACGTGAAAGAGAAGTCAACAACCTTTTTAAACTTTATTCCATTTTTTTTAAAAAAAGAACAACATGTTGATCAGCTTTGAGTCGGGCATATATGATGTGGTGAATTTTTTTAAAAAAAATTAGTTCATTATTTAAAAATCATGTTTATATTAGGACAGCCCACATATTCCAAGTCTGTAGAAGTAGTATTAGAAATAAAAAGAAAATAATTGGAACAATTCACAGAATCCAAAACTTAATAGTTTTCCTTTTATTTAAGAAAATTATACAAGGAAAGTATTCAGTTGGATAAAACCTAAATGAGTGTTAAAGTACTGTAAAAACAGTCGTATAAAAATTCTTAGAAAGTTTTTTTTTTCCTGGTTTTATTTTCCTACTTTTCATTTGCTTTTTTAAAAAAAAAAGACAACCAAAAAATGTATTGTTATGTTGTATAATAGTATCTTTTTCTTCCTTTTGTTAGTTTATAATTTATAATAATACATTATTTAAAAAAGAAAACAAAATCAGAAACACACACCCACACAACAAATTTGAAGGTATGGGAGATTTCTTTTTAATTTTAAAAGACATTAATTTTATTACAGTGTAGCTTATTGCTATTTGTAGGGAAAACATAGCTGTTTGCTCCATTTTAATCCCAGGATAATTTAGATATAGTAAATAATTTAGTAGAAATAACTACTAATATGATTCAATAATTTGACAAAGACTGCAAATTAACCTACTTCAGGGAAATATTCTCAAGTCCTATTTCAGAACACGGAATAAAGTGATTATCATCCATCTTAATTCAGTTTGCACAGTTTAAAAGTGGTTGGTTTTGCTTGCAATATAATTCAGTGCTCTGACTATCTTCTCAAAAATCAGCCGGATTGAGTGCTGACAAGGTTAGGAAAATTACTGTACCCTCAAACCAAGTGCCACATTTGGTGACTGCATTTGTTTATATATTAATTCACCCATTTTGTACATTTTTAACACAATTGTCTGTACCCATCAAATATGGCCATCAATGGACACACATACCTTCCTAATTAATATATATCTTACTTCCTTTTCACAGCCATTTAAGAGAATGGATCAAAAATATTTTTAAAAGCCAAATTTAATGAACACTGTTAAAGTTTATGTGTATTTTCTTTTTATCTCTTCAACAGCTATAATTTTTTGAAGAAACTCTCCTCAATAGGCCTTTGATTTAAAATCTGTCTGAAAACAGATTGTTCATCTGACTTTTTTTTTAAAAAAATAAAACCCTCTAAATTCTGGTAATTGAAAATTCTAAATATTGGCCACATTGGGGCTATTAATATTATTGCATTCAGTAACATTAACTGATGATAGCTGAGTGAGATAAATGTAAAGACTTTCAAAATATGAAAGAATTCCCAGTACAGTAGTAGTGATAATAATAGTAATATTAATAACAATAAGCTATTGTTTGTGCAGTATTGCAGATAACTTTCAAACTGTGATAGAACTCCTAGATTCCTCCTCTCTTTTTTTTTTTTGCTTCAAAGCTCTATAAAAGTGTATTAAATGTTGTACTGACTTTTCTCTTTAATTTAATTACAGTCTTTAATTATGTTCTTTTTATCTATATTTACATACACCATACTTGTATTTGCAATTCCAGTACATTAAAGTATTTACCTTTGGCATGGATTTGTTCCTAAATGGGTCAAAGACAGGAAGTCTTATTTGTCTTTTAAATGAATTGCAGTTTCAAAAATATTTGCATGTGGAAAAGGGGAACTGGGTATTCCAAATCCTGCTTTACTAAGCAAGCTGGTCTGTCTGTCAGTCGATCTCTCTCTCTCTCTCTCATTCTAGAAAGATATCAGTTCTAGATTTATGTATACAAATGCATTGAAAAGAATGAAGCACACAATAATGGTAGTAATTGTGAAAATTGTATTATAGGTAACTTTGGGACAATATACTGTATGTGCTCTAGTTTATTATATTAACCATTTGATATTTATTCCTAAGAATTTGTGGTTGTTAAAGATTTCCCCTAACTTTCTCTAGTCTGCTCAAAATGTGTTAGGAATGCTTGCAAGGGTAATTTTTCAACCATTTGAACTTTCATTTTTATGTAGCAAATAAATGAAAGCATATTGAAGTTTTTCATGATCTCCAGAGAAGAAAGCCCTCGTTTCAAGAATGTAATTCAGAAAATAAATTCAAAAAGGAGCTGGAAATTATACAGTATAAATGTCTACATAGTTACTCAGAACTAAATCTCACTGCACTCAGCAGGACCTGTTTCCAAGAAAATGTGGAACTGCATAGAGTTTTAGAACTACGGTGATAAAGGAAATTTAACTTTACCGCCACTAGGCTAATTTTCAGTCTAAATTGAAATTCAATCTATATGTAAATATGATCTAATTCCTTATAATTATCCACTCAAACATTTATTGGAGCTCAACCAACCTTATTGTACATATGTTGTGCACTGACAATAAATATTTGTTTAAAAAAAATTGTAATTTGGGCAAACTGGCCAAAAATACTCTCAATGCACATAACTCTAAGACCAAAACTGATAATACCTCCAACACCAGTGGGAACATTTTAACTCCCTGGAACATTCTACTATTTACCACACAATAGCAAAAAGAACAGGCAAAAACGGGTTTTATTATGAAGCAGCATTCATTAGAAGCATTAACACCATGTATTTACTAATAGAATAGAATAGAATAGAATAGAATAGAATAGAATAGAATAGAATTCTTTATTAGCCAAGTGTGATTGGACACATAAGGAATTTGTCTTGGTGCATATGCTCTCGGTGTACATAAAAGAAAAGATACATTCATCAAGAATCATAAGGTACAACACTTAATGATAGTCATAGGGAAAGAGTCAATATAAATCTTAAGGATACCAATAACAAGCAATTTATGGATTAAACAGAAAGTGAGACTCACACGTTATGTGTTAACTAATTCTTCATTTCTGTGTTGTATTTCTTCTAATGGTCCTTCCTTCACAAATCTCTTCCACTCCAAAAGCCCAGTTTTATGTCTATCATCCTTTTTTTAGGATTGTGGTCCATGCAGCTACTAAAACGATCTGTGATCTTGATTAGGTAATCAAGAAATGTGATGCACTTTTTTTAAAAGATCAGTTAATTCGTTGCCTGATCAACCCCATACTTCAATAATTGCATCTGACTTAATACAACTCTGGTATTATCTCTGTTAAAATTCTGGCATGTTCTGACCTACTGAGTATTTAAACCATGTTGAATTAGAACCTGTGGAAGCGTAAACTTCAAGACCAGGTCTAGATCTCTGTTTTCAAAACATCTTCTGCAAACGATTCCAGGCAGCCTTCCCTCCCCATGTTGGGACATCATCATCTCTTTCTCTGCTGATGTGACTTGATTTGTTTCTTCACGAGTTCTTCTCAGTCTGCTTTGCTGACTGGCAGAAGACATGTTGCAAACTGTGGTTGATGGGAATGGCTCGTTTCAAATCTTAATTTCCCTTAATTTTGGACGTGTGCTGATTGGACTGTTTTAGTTTTGAATCTCCAGCGAAGAAAATTACAGTAAATCTACTGCAATGGTTAGGAAAATCCCAGAAAGGATTAAAGCTGGAACGGAATATACTAATCGTTTCTTAACACCGGCCTTGGTTTATTCAGGTTTTTTTTTTGCACATGCGGATGGAACTGACTGATGTTACGTCAGTTGGGAAATTTGTCTCATTTTCCAGTAGGTCTGAGGGATGTATGTTACTGTTAAATTGTGATAAGTTCTATTGACCTGTTTGCTGGACATGATCTCACCCACGTGTTGACTTTCTTGGAACACAGATCATTGGCTGATCCCAACCAGGGGAGGGATTCTGTGGTCCTTAAAAGTTGCTCCTCTCTTCACTTGCCTACAAAGCAATCTTGGTTTATCCCAGAGAGAGAACGAAGAAGACAGGTTTTTATATTTTTACAAAAATCTAAGAACACAGCCTTACTCAAGGAAGAAAGATGAAACTTCAAGTTATCTGCGTGCTCTTCATTTTACTTAGTGCTGCTACCAGAAACCTCTGTGCGTTCACCATTCAGGTAAGAACAAAATTATTAATATTATGCAAAAAATGTGTGCTTTCCAATTTCTTGAACATTTTCTTTCTCCACTGAAGTAGCTGCTGTTTTGCCCCCTTCACTGTTGCTTTAGTTTTAATATCTTCTCATCATTTTCTCTGTCTTTCCATCCTTCTGTAAACTTGCTGGCAGTTCTTGCTTCCTGGTCTGAGAAAGCCCAATGGAAAGAAATGTCTCAGGAGAACTTCCCCTAGTATTTATAAGAAGCCAGGAAGGATGAAGGCTGCTGGAGAGAAGATTGTTGTTATGAAAGTCAGGATGATCATACCTCTCAGCTGTCTCATAATTAATGGACTTTTAATCATTATAAGCTTTTCAAAAGCAGGATAGTGAAGAGTGGTAGATGAAAATACAGCTGGTCCTAGTGACTGCTAAAGGAGTTTTGGAGTTGGAGTATTGGGCCAGAACTGAAGAATTGTTGATTTTTATGACATTACTTGATTGTGGAGCTCACTAGATGATTTGAGGGGCCATTTCGGCGGGAAGATACCATCTTTCACATGTGACCCTCTTAAGTTCTCAGACAAAAGATAGGCGACATACAAATACCTCAAATTACACAAAGAGACAACTTGATGGAGGACACTTGATGAGTTTGGGTTGTAGAGGTGACAGCAAAATAGTTGGAACCAGATTCCTGAAGAAAACTCAAGATAGAGCTACACTGGGTTGTTATAATGTACCAGATACACTGAAAAATTCGGGAGAGTTGAAAGTTAAAAGGATAAAAGTTTTCTCCTGTTTTGTAAGTGGCCAAAGAAGTGGCAAGGGAGGATGGAAAGATTCAACCTACTTAATTGTTGTAAAGGTAAAGGTTTCCCTCCCACATATGTGCTAGTCGATCCTGAGTCTACGGGGCGATGCTCCTCTCTGTTTCAAAGCCGAAGAGCCAGCGCTGTCCGAAGACATCTCCATGGTCATGTGGCTGGCATGACTAAATGCTAAAGGCGCACGGAACACTGTTCCCTTCCCACCAAAGGTGGTCCCTATTTTTCTACTTGCATTTTTTGCGTGCTTTCGAACTGCTAGGTTGGCAGAAGCTGGGACAAGTAACGGGAGCTCACTCTGTTACGCGGCGCTAGGGATAGGAACCACTGAACTGCCGACCTTTCGATCGACAAACTCAGCATCTTAGCCACTGAGCCATCGCATCCCATGCTTAATTGTTGTAGTGAACCCCAAATACATTGTTAACTCTGAATTAATGAAAAAAAAAGAGAAGAAAGGGAGCAGGGCTATCCAGTTTTCTATTGTTGCTTCTGCTCACCATGCCAGCCTATCTAGACAAAGGCAGTTGTCTTAATAGAGATTCCTCTATGGGCAAGCAAATGTCTTGCAGGGTGTCACTTTGTGGTAGGGTGTCACTTTGTGGACTCCATTCTGTCTTTCCTCTACAATAGCAACTGAAGGTAGAGAAATATCCAGAGAGATAAGATTGCAAGGGGAGGCTAGCTGTGATATTTATTCCCATAAACTGCTCCATTTTCTTATGCTAGACCTTAGCTAGTCAGCTCCTCCTCCCTACTCATGAGAGGAGGAAAGCACCAACAGCATAGGGATTAAATTTGGGAGTGAGATTATCATGTTCGCCTCCAACAGTCCTAATCTTGGCATCGGCCTTGTGCTCACTTCTCATACGTTGCCAACATGGTTAGAACGACAAACAAATTACTGAAATGGCTGATATACCAACTATGTCTGGTGACATGGAAGGCCTCCATTTTATTTTAGATCAAAGCTGGGCAGTCTGCAGCTTAATTTTAAAATCTTTCAGATTGCTTGTCTGTGATATACCCATTTCTCAGGAGTTCAAGAAAAGATCTTTCCTTCCTTCCTTCCTTCCTTCCTTCCTTCCTTCCTTCCTTCCTTCCTTCCTTCCTTCCTTCCTTCCTTCCTTCCTTCCTTCCTTCCTCACCCTGTCCCATTGCTAATTCAAATTCTTCTAGGGGAATGTGACCCTTGAGGGAATTATATACCCCTGTTTCAGTGGTGGGATTCAAATTTTTTTACTACCGGTTCTTTGGGCGTGGCTTGGTGGGCATGGCAGGGGAAGGATACTGTAAAATCTCCATTCCCTCCCCACTCCAGGGGAAGATTGCTGCAAAATCCCCATTTCCTTCCGATCAGCTGGGACTCGGGAGGCAGAGAATAGATGAGGGCAGTGCCAGACAGAGGTGGTATTTACCGGTTCTCCGAACTACTCAAAATTTCCGCTACTGGTTCTCCAGAACTGGTCAGAACCTGCTGAAACCCACCTCTGCCCTGTTTGCTAATTTTAAAGATTTTGGCACTTCGTGTCTAGAAAGCTGAATTGACATACCTTGCTTAATCTTCAACTCAAAAAGCTTGACAAAATCACACGACAGACAATGTCTAAACAGACCGATCTTAAGTTCATAAGTCTATGATACTGGCTGGTTCTCCCACAGGAAGCTGAACCACAAGCAAGCCAACTTCAGTTTAACTGAGTCGACGATATTCTGTGAACATAAGCTATTTTTAAAATATTTTTTTCCTCTTTGAAAATAGAAGACTTGAAAGAAGTATTTTTTGTTTCCTCTTTGTTGCAGAGAGATATCCAGAAAGACTCAGCCAGTTTGGATACCTACAAAACAGAAACCATGGGACTGCAGGTGAGACCAGAGTCTGAGTAATGCTTGTAATATTCAATAGAATAGAATAACAGAGTTGGAAGGATCCTTGGAGGTCTTCTAGTCCAACCCCTTGCTCAAGCAGGAAACCCTACACCATTTCAGACAAATGGTTGTTCAATCTCTTCTTAAAAACCTCCAGTGTTGGAGCATTCACAGGTATTGGAGGAAGTTTTTCCACTGGTTAATAGTTCTATCAGGAAATTTCTTCTTAGTTCTAGGTTGATTTCCTCCTTGATTAGTTTCCACCCATTGCTTCTTGTCCTGCCTTCAGGTGCTTTGGACAATAGCTAGACTCCCTCTTCTTTGTGGCAGCCCCTGAGATATTGGAACACTGCTATCATGTCTCCCCTAGTCCTTCTTTTCATTAAACTAGACATACCCAACTGTTCTTCCTATGTTTTAGCCTCCAGTCCACTAATCATCTTTGTTGCCCTTCTCGGCACTCTTTCTAGAATCTCCACATCTTTTTTACATCGTGACGGTGTTAAATTTTACATCGTGTTGATGTTGTGATTATAGAATGGCTAAAAAAATTTGCAGAGGCAACTCTTAAACATTGATCAATAACTCTTAACTCCGAGAAGGACAGGGAGTCAAAACAAGTGGATATAATTGATTATTGCATGAAACTGGTTGGCAAAAGCTTTTTGACTGGCAAACCAAGGAAGAATTATTTAAAATGGTGAATTTAAGGCTGGAAAGTGGGCAAGGAAGCTCACAGGTTTTCCCTGAAGGATATGGTCTCTTTCAAAGTACCGTTTCCCAGCAACTAGTGTTTAAAGCTTGGCAGTTAGGAGACACTCATTAGGATTAGAAGCCATTGGTGGTCTGATCTTCTACTCAAGCCTGTATCAAGCCTTGATTAGACATGTTCAAATCAGGTGTCATGAAAAGTTACATAAGAACAAAAGGGATCCATTGGCAGCTATTGCCACAACAACTGGTAGCTAATTCCATGTTTTAGGTATGTTGCATTCTGGTCTCGCTGTGAATCCTCCTTCTGAAATCCAAACTTGTTCATATACAGAGAGTAAATTCTTTTTATTTCCCCTGCAGGCATTGCTAGGAAGACCCAAGCGCCACGTCAGTCACATTGCTTTATGCAGATATTGCTGGGACTGTTGTGGAAACAAGGGATTTGGTTACTGCTGTCGGACATGAAGAGGACGAAGTCCAGGAGGGACAACAACTCTGCTATGGAGATGACTCTCTCCCTTGTAAAAAACGACCACCTCCAAAAAAAACCAAAAAAAAACATCTCCTCACATTGGTCTCCGGGTCTCCTGACACATTCTCCTTATTTATTAGTTTGACAATATTTGGTGTTTTTGTTTTGCTTGATGTTCTTGTCAGTTCTTGAGAATTAAACGTATTTTTATCTCCTATGTGGATTTGTGATTCTCTCTACCTCTGGATCATATATTCCTGCCTAAGATCTGGCCTTCCCAAATATGGCAAACCACAAATCACCTGATTAGCCTGATCTTAAGGATTGTAATCAGGGGTGGGATCCTACCGGTTTAACGACCAGTACGCTGAGTGCGCGCTTCACATGCGCAGTTCAGAGAAAACTCACCTTCCACATTGCTGCCGGCGAGGAAAACAGCTGAGGCATGGCAATCCACTCTGCCGCGCCGATCAGCTGGGCTTCAGAAACAGAAATGTAGGTGAGTTATAACGCAGGAGCTGGCGGGCGTGCCCACTTCAAAGTCGGAGCAAACTGGTTCGCTCATGGCTGATAATCAGAGCTAATGGTTCGCCCGAACCAGTCCGAACCGGTAGAATCCCACCACTGGTTGTAATTACTCAACAGAAAGGTATATATATAAAAAACCATATAATTTTGAATCAAGTAGATGGAATCTACTCAGCCAACAAGAATATAGGCCCTCTTCCTTATCCATTCCTTTTTGTCCTGCATCTCTGCTTTAAACATCTGCATGGAAAGCAAATGTGGTGCAGATTTTATGTGTAGTGTAGAGTCAATTAGCTTTTCAAGACACAGGAACTCTGTGAGGTGATGATGATCACCTAAGATCGGTGATCTTTAAAACTGGAATGATTATGCAATCATCCATCAAAATCCCCAGAGGATTTTCCCCACCATCTCCAAATCTAGACTGATAAAGCATCGGGAACGCATGTTAAATACAAAAATTTATAATTTGAAAGCCTGAGAGTCAAATCCACTAATTCATTTGGCTCAGAACAGAAGGAACATTTTGAGTTTCAAAAGAAAAAAAAAGGGGGGGGGGATAGTTGTAGTGGTGATAAAAGAGTTACAATTCCCTAAGTTTCAACTAGTAGACCTGGTAGCTACTTTGGGTGATCAGTAATATTTCCCCCAGGAAGATGACAGGAAGGGAGCTAATATTATCAATATTTCCATGAAAGCCTTGGGAATAACAGAGCCCTAATCAGGCAACATGCCTTTTCTTTCAAATACTGGTTAGTCCTCACTTAACAACCATACTTGGGACATGTACTGATGGCAATGATAGCAGCAATGGTAATTAGGACCCATTGCTATGGTTAAGTGAATTCCATATGGTTATTATGTGAAATGTTGACTTCCTGCTGGCTTCCCCATTGATTTGCTTGTAACTGTGGGTACGTTGCGAAGACCAGAACTTAAAGGACTAGTCTCTGGCCCCACTTATTCAGTGCTGTTGCAACTTCAAATGGTCACTGAAGGAGTCATTAAATGAGGACTACCTCTAGCAGGAAGGTTCCTAGTAGCAAGGAGAATTTACAATAATAATATTCCCTTTGGAGAGATATTCCTTGATAGAAGGATTCCCACAAATGTTCTTCATTTCAATATTCTAATTGCAGTTATACCTTCCAAGGTCTTCTACCCAATCATTGTTTGGGGAGGAGATGCTGGTTGGGTGAACCTACGGGTGTGAGTGGGGATTTCCCAGGAAAGTCCACCTAGATGTTGCTGCATTTTACCTCCCCGCAACTCTAACCTATGGCCATGTTGGTTAGACTGCTGGGAGTTGTAGTTCAGAGGTATTTGTGAAAGGGTCAGAGGTCCTCCATGTATCTAGCAAGTGTTATATAAGCACTTGTTACACAGGAGCTCTCAAGATCTTTTGCCCATGTTGGATCAGACGTTGGAGTAGAGTTGATCAGAGCCAAAAGGAAACTGCCAGTCGCTTATCCCAAAATATCCAGTGGTCCTTTCTGTTGATATATTCTCATAATCTTCTGGCATCTCCATATTCTCATAGGCCTTGCTGGTGCTTAATTCCTTTAAAAATGTAGAAGAAACCAGAGGAAAGTCTTGAGTTCAAATGACTTAATAAAAATAGTTAAACTTTATGTTTTAAGGGCTTTACATTATCTGGAAGGGTCTGCAGGAGGGAATGATGGCAAATTAGGAAATATTGTCATGACATGAACCATAAGACGTGGACCCCAATAGGAGAGGCCAAGGTTTGCATCATGATGTTGTGACATGATGCAAATCTTTCCTCGTTTTTGTACCATTCCTCTTTGTACCAGACTCCTGAGGAAGAGGGACTAGCCAACATTTATTCTTGGAGTAAATATTATTACCGTACAATTTAGCTGTAAAAACTAGTAGTTTCAAACCATAATTTGTGACAATACTAGGATTGGTCCATGAAGTAAATGCCAAAACAAAACAAATGATTTGGGTGACATATTGTCAGATTAACAAATCTCTTTAGACTGTTGGCATACTTTTGATTTAATTTTAGATTTTCGCAAAAGACATCTAGGAGATTTTGTGCACCATCCTGCTTAAGAGCACCGTGTTGCTGATCTCAGATTATGTTTTGATGATGATGTAATAGACCCCATAAGTATTTTTCAAAACTGGCAACATTAAGATGTGTGAACCTTAATTCCCCAAATTTATTTATTTACTTTGTCATATTTAAAAACTGCCCATGGAGTGGTGCGGTGGCCTAGAGGTGGAGCTCTCGCCTCGCAATCAGGAGGCTGTGAGTTCGATCCTAGGTAGAGGCAGATATTTCTCTCTCTGGGCACACTGAGAATATATCTGCTGAACAAAACTCTGCATTGGCGACAGGAAGGGCATCTGGCCATTAAAACACTCTGCTAGCTCCATTCAGTTGCCCAGACTCCACCCCACAAGGGATTATGGGTTCGTTAAAAGAAGATGATAATGATTTAAGAACTGCCCATTTCCCTCTCTCCCAAGTTAGCAAAATTCTGGGAGTTGAAGCCTGCACATCTTCATGTTCCTAAGTTTGAAAAACACGGCTCTACATAAAGAAAAAGGACAGGAACCAATCAATTCACCAAGAGTTGGCAACCTGAAACCCTGCACATGTTGCTGAACTACAACTCAAATCACCATTCATCATTGATTATGCTGTCTTGGGGTTCTGGGAACTGAAAGTCCACATATCTGGATACCATTGGGTGAACTTAACAGGTGTGGATGGGGACATCCCAGGAGAATCCATAACCATCTAGATGTTGTTGGATTATACCTCCCTCCAACTCTAACCTATGGCTGTGTTGGTTGGGCTTCTGGGAGTTGTAGTTCAGGGATATTTGTAAGTGGGTCAGTGGTCCCCCATGCATCTAGCAAGTGTTATGTAAGCACTTGTTTGACAGGAGAACGCTGCTATTCTCAGTTGCCCCAAGATTGCTTCATACATTATCATCAGCTTGGCTTCCTGGAACATTGGGTTTGTTGCACATGTTGAGTTGCTCCTCCTTCTGGTTATCTTTAGATGGCTTTTTTGTGTTAAGGTAAATTATTTCTTCTCCGTTGCCATGTATCCGGGGATTTTCCGCTTGCTCTTCCTCTTGCTCCCCTTGTTTCTTCTCCTTTTTCCGACTGGCCAAAGAAATGTCATAAAAATAAAAGAAGGAAATGACCATCGGGGAATAAGATAAAAGACAGCGAAGGAAAAATATCTAGCAAAATACAGCAGGTAAAGCATTCCTGAGAGGATCAGTAGCAAAAGTATAGGAAGAAAGGCCAGTAGAAAAGATTGACAAATGTTTGGAAAATTATCTTAAAATTTAAAGGTATCTTTAAAAATTTTAAATTTAAAAGTATCTAAAGCTAGATAAATTAAAAACAACTTTGGATTGAGGCAAGTCATTCCATAGAATAGAATAGAATAGAATAGAATAGAATAGAATAGAATAGAATAGAATAGAATAGAATAGAATAGAATAGAAGGAGAGGAGAGGAGAGGAGAGGAGAGGAGAGGAGAGGAGAGGAGAAGAGAAGAGAAGAGAAGAGAAGAGAAGAGTGAAGAGAGAGTGAATAGAGAATAGAAGAATTGGAAAGGACCTTGGAGGTCTTCTAATCTTCTTTATACATGTTCATGTGTTCATGTCCATGTTTATATATGTTTTCTCATACATGTTTGACAAACTAAATAAAATAAAATAAAAAAAACACGAAAGATGCTTTTTCAGGAGGCAACTGGGAATCTGTACAGGCTATCACCATGAAATGGGAGAGTTTGCTTTACAATAGTGTGGAGCCAATTATGCTTTATGCTAAAGCAGTGGCTCAGCGGCTAAGATGCTGAGCTTCTCGATCGAAAGGTCAGCAGTTCAGTGGTTCGAATCCCTAGTGCCGCATAACAGGGTGAGCTCCCGTTACTTGTCCCAGCTTCTGCCAGCCTAGCAGTTCAAAAACACGTTAAAAAAATGCAAGTAGAAAAATAGGGACCACCTTTGGTGGGAAGGTAACAGCGTTCCGTGTGCCTTTGCCATTTAGTCATGCCGGTCACGAGACCACGGAGATGTGTTCGGACTGCGCTGGCCCTTCAGCTTTGAAACGGAGATGAGCACTGCCCCCTAGAGTCAGGAACAACTAGCATATATGTGTGAGGGGAAACCTTTACCTTTACCTAATCATGCTATAGGATGACACTACATTTTGATGGAAGCATCAGTTGCTGCTGAAAGCTTTGGCCCAGCCTTGACTGAAGGGCCATAAACCCTGTTCCTTGACTGTTTGTTTCATATGGCGATGTTTGGATAACGTTAGTGGGGACATACCTTCTGAGCTGCAGGACTGTGGTTGGATCTGATTGGTTTTTGGGGAGGAAACCCCTGAGGTTGGTTGTCGGGAGTCGGCACATTCCAAAGACTAGCTTACTTTGACTGGTGAAGCTGCTTGGATAAGCACCGAAATCTCTCAACTAACAAGAATTGGTCCGGTTGCCGTGATTCAACCTTCAGACACCTTTGCCTGAAGGACTGAGAATCTTCATCGAGAGATCTGATGGATCCTTTAAGCTTCTTACCTGCTTACTGTCACTTTGTAAACCAAAATTCCCAGCAAGGTGAAGAGGACGAGCCCTGCAACAGCTCCCCCCAATCCGATGAGCAAAAGGGTGATGTTCCCTGCAAGAAG